TTTTAACTGCTGAAGAAGGCCAGCAGCTTGCTCAGCAAGCTGCAGAATTGCAGGCAGAGGTAGCTGACCAAGCTGATATGCAGCCTAGAAGACGTGCACCACCGCGGTGCAGCAACTGCAATATTCAAGGTCATACTAGGGTCAGCTGCCCTAGTAAATAGGCAATTATTTTACATGTAAATAGCTTCAATTTAGGGGTGGTGTGGTGAGATAATTAGATATCTAATAATAATGGCGTTGGTGGGTGTTTCGCTCGGTGATCTGTTTCGCTCGGTGATTGATTACGTTATAGGCAGACTCTTAGTAACAATATTAGTAATTTTAGGAGAATTTTTTTTTTTAGAAACCCGATATTGCCAGGAGCACTTTAGGTAATTGTGCTTCCTGACCAATCAGATCTCCTGTACTCCCTAGCTTGCGATATGCCTACCTAAAGAAGGGATGGGGTCCCTAGCTGCAAGACCATATGCATTCCACTACGAAATAGGTATATACCCTTTAATAATTACGTACAAACGGAGTATATTTAATAGTCGAATCGACTAAGGAGTCTCCTCCACCCGATATACCAGCTTCACACCGCTGTGTTTCTCCTCCTTCATCTCCTGCATCCCCTCGATCGCACCCGCGAGCCCGTTCTTTCGCAAGCTGACCGGGTGCACCTTGATGGTACCATTCGCGAGTAGAGGCTGCGCCTCCTCTGCCCACCATTTCGCCTGGAACTCGGCATGCGCCTGGTTGTTCGCGAACTTGGCACCGAACTTGTCAAAGTCCTCGCCGATGCCGGTGTAGGCCAGCGTAACCGTATACTTGACGTCCTTGCGGGGGAATTCTGGGGAGAGGATGGTGCCGTAATGCGCGCCGGGGCCGGAAGTGAGGGCTTCAGCGCAGATCTTGACTGAGTCGTCGGTGCTGATGCAGTCCCAGACGTATTTGAGTTTGTTTTGGGTGTACTCGTTGATCTTCTTCCCGCACTCGGGGTCGTGGTAGTCGAAGGCTTCGGTTGCGCCCAGCCTCTTGACAAGATCAAAGTTCTTGGGCGAGCAGGTGGTTATAACGGTGTAGCCAGACCTGAGAGGTTGTTAGTCAAATGTCCACGACATGCATATATTCTACTGCGGCTTACGCTTTGGCGAATTGAATCCCCAAGGTCCCTGTTGCCGAACTGCCACCGTAGATCAGAATAGTCTCCGGCTGCTGCAGCGGCTGCGATGGCAGCGCAAGGCCCAGGCCGTAGTCCTTCTCATACAAGCCCTGGCCGACGGTGCTAATCCCGCAGCCTAAGGTGGCAGCCTCCTCGAAGCTGAGATGGTCCGGAATCTTGATCGACATATGCTCCTTGGCGACGATGTACTCGGCAAAGGCACCATCCTCAGGATTGTTGTAGTTGCCGCCGTGCACGAACCCGGCCACGCGGTCGCCTTTCTTGAAGTCTTTGGTGACGTTGGGGCCGACCTCTTCGACAATGCCCGCATAGTCCACGCCAATCAGGGAGCCTTCTTTGGGAAGGCCACGGTAGACATGCTTCCAGTCCGTCGGGTTCAGGGCGATAGCCTTGACTTTGACGAGGATGTAGTGGTCGCGGACCTTGGGGACTGGTCGGTCCGAAACGACGGTGGCCTTTCCGGGGCCTTGGTAGACAAGGGCCTTCATCTTGATAGCTGGCAGGAGCTAGAAAAATCGGAGGTGAGTACAGGTGAATAGACGAGACGGGACAGGAACGAGGGATAGGATTCGAACATTAATCTTCGATTCTATCGGCATCTTCAGCATTAGTAAAGCTGGCGGGCCGGTGGGCCCAGCCCTGCGGGGGAGGGGCACCCGTGGTCAACGCGTGATGGCATTCGACAAACTTCGTTCCAGCATGTGAGGGCAGTGATAATTTAAGTTAGTAGAGCATAGTTCGTGTTATTCCTGTCGGTTGGGTCAGGTTCTGACTTCTTGCCCAGGCCAACCGTTAACCGGACCTGAGAAACGGATACGGCTGGGGTTATCGAAGAGCACACAAGGACATGAGGAGTAAAGAAAGTATGGGCATTATCGAGAGCATAGTATTTATAAATGGAATATGAGCTTGAATATGGTCGAGCTGACAACAGGTCGGTAAACATGGAGAACAAGATGACGCGTAGATAGGGAGAGGTAGGAGTTAGGTCGACGGGAGCTGCCTTCTCTGGTTGGCGTATATAGGATCGGCCCAATCAGGGCAGCAGTCCTCTCTTCTTTGTTGAATAAATATTCATCCTGAAGAATATACCGAGGATGCGGAGTGTGCGATTTTTAATATTCTCTCCCAGTGGCCTGACCTCCTGCAGTACCATAGTTGACCAGATATTTCAACACTCTGCCACTGCAGTTCCAACTCAGAAGCTGATTCTGGAGTTGTTTCTCCAGATAACACTGATATTTTCGACAAAAATGCTGCTTGACTTGGAGCTCCTTTCCGTTGGTCAGACAGATATCTGCTTACCTGTGCATTGTCCGCACTGACGTGCAAAAATATATATAGTTAATACCGGATCCTAAGAAAGCAAAGCAACTCTATATGCTTGAGCGGTGTGCATCAATAAGATGAAACTTGGAGAGCTGTTTATTGGACATCATCCACTCCATATTGATCGCTCTGAGGAATCTATCTGCTTGGGAATCATTCCTTCCCAATGTACCGTAGACGAAAGTCGAAAGATGACTAATTCCTCAGTATGCCGACTACACATGCCTTGCCTTGTCGCCTCTTTACTAGAATCTCAACATCACAAATAAATATTAGATCCCAATGTACAGTACTGTACAGTATATCTAGTCCACGAACGAGCGAAATCCATTTTGCTAGACTGAAAAATAGTTATGTTATGAGACTCTGACAACGGAAATGCTTTGGACACATGAAAAAGTTCAGTTTCCTTAGGTAGATCAAATCACAGCACAGCCAATCAAACCGACGGCCTACTAGACAAAAAAACTCGCCTGCTTGCCATGAACCCAAAGATTCCCAGAAAACGTTTTCATCAACGACAAAAAACGTGCAGCAAAGTCCCATGGTATCGAACATAGCCGGGAGAAAAGAGAAGGGTGAGGTCTGACGATCGCTGGAGATAAAGGATATATGTAGATTTTCTAGAAAAACACGGGTTGAATATTAAGAAACTCAGCTAGTATGGTTCTGGCAACGTCGCTTATGTCGATGTTGGTGATCGTCGCGATCAGCCCAGCTTCGCCTTCAGCGACTCGATCTCAGCAGTGAGCTGCTGCATCTGCGCTGCCTGAGAGGCAATGGTCTTCGTCTGTTCCGCGATCAGAGACTTCAGCTCCTGGATGTCCCGCTGAACAGCGTCGGCAGGCACGGTGCTGGTAGGCTCGACTATAGTAGGTGTGACCGTCACTGGGGTGGATGCAGACACCGGGGAAACTTCCACAGGCTAGAAGATGTCAGTTAGTCACCACAAAGGCTTCCGTATACGGAGAAATCATACCTTTGAGCTCGTCGACTCCTCCTTGCTCTTAGCGGCGGATTCTGTCGGGGTTTCAATCTTAGGGGTTTCAACCTTAGGAGGCGTGGTTACAACCCGTTCGGTTGGTCTTGCCACTTCTTCGAAGCTCGAGCTGTCATCCACGTCGTCCTTGTCGTCTTCGTCAGCATACTTGGAAACCATAGCAGCCATCGAAGCACCCTGTTCCTTCATCGAAGGGGGCGGGCGGATCACAGTTGGTTCCGGAGCAGGGGCGGGCTCTGGCGCTTTGGCAGGCTCAGCGGGCTTCGGCTCGGGAGCACTCATGGTTGGTGTGGGCTTGTCCAGAGTAGGGGTAACCTCCTGGAGCCCTTCGCCGTCATACAGACTGGCCAGGGAGATCTTCGGAGGGATCGCCTCTTTGCCGGCAAACCACTCTGACGGCCCCATGGCGGGCTTCAAGCCAGTCGTCGGTGGGTAGATGTCGTCCTGGAAGACCTCCGAGCGCCGAGGCACGATGAACGAGATGGGCTCAATGTAGGTGTCGTTCACAGACTTGTAGATGCGGACGACTTCGTTCTGGTGCATGTTCACGCCACGCTTGGGCATGAAGGCAAGACCACGTTGAGGATCGCTCGACTTGTACTCGGACAGGTATTCGAACTTGTCGTTCTCCAGCTCAAAGTATCGGATATTACCATCACTGGAAGCCAATCAGTGGATAGGTCTCAGACAACGTTCGTAAGGTGACTCACCCTTTGCCAGCCAAGTAAAGACACTGGGTACCCTCGTCCCAGAATGGAACGCAAACTCCAGAGATGGAGTCCAGTACTTTGAAGCCGTTGATGGGCTCTCTCGGGGCGCGAATATCCCACAGAGCCAACTGACGGTCACTCATCTTGGAGAAACCCGTCGTCGCGACACGGTCGTGCTCACCCAGCCAGACCGCCCTGCTGTTCTTTGCTCCCGAGTGGCCTTGGGTCTCCTGCGCTGGGCGTTCCTGGCGCACATCCCATATCCGGAGTTTTTTGTCCCTCGACGTGGTCACCAGCAGAGAGCCATTGGCACTCCATGACAGCGACTGGACAACGTCGCCAAGCTTGAGGGTCAGTTTCGCGTCGCCAGCCTCAATGTCCCAGATCTTGATCGAAAAATCGCCCGATGCGGTCGCAAGCACGTTCTCGGCGGAGGGGTTGAAGAGCACGTGGCCGACCTTCCTGTGGCGTTCTTAGCAATGGCCTCAACCAACCTTAAGAATCGAGGTATCTTACTTGGGATGACCGCTCAGCTTGCCAACAGGAGCCACGTCCTGGATCTCGTCTGGCTCAACATCGGGGTGAAGAGTGAATCCCTCCGGCACGCGCCAGAGAAAGATCTGCAATTCTCAGCACCACGTGCAATCCCTCGCATGGCGCAGGAGCTCACCTTGCCATCATCCGAACCAGAGGCGATCAAATCGTCGTTAAAGGGGTTCCTGGCACACTCGTGAGCTGGAGTCGCTAACTCACTCAGGGATCCAACGCTCACCAGTCCGTATCGAGCACAGCGGCTGTGTGTCCACGAAACAAGGGTATCTTCTCAGGGAACTTTCCCCGCTCGTGGAGAGGGACCACCGCAAATGCTCCACCGCCACCTGCTTCCCAGTTCACAGACAGATATTTGGGGTTGACCTGCCCAGGGATTAGATTGTCGCACGCGGGATTCTTCTGGTCGCGAGAAAATGACGCACCTTCAGGAGGTTGGTGTCCCATGCATTTTTGGACACACGGAGGTTGTCATAACATTGTTCCTGAATTCACATGAGCGACATGGGAAACAGGCATTTGCTTTGGACTGTAGGCTGCGGCGTACCTTTCTGGTCGGCTGTCCGAAAACGTGTCCTAACGGGCAGAGAACGGTGTAAGCTCAGCGCGGCAAAACAACGCGCAGGGACAAAACTCACGATACTTCGACGAGCGGACGAAGCGGCCCGACATGGCAGTAGCGTTGAGATGACACGGCAGACAAAATTGAGTATGGCCTCAAGGACCCAGGAATTATTGGGACTGCAGGAGTATGTTGACTGGAAGGAGCTGGGTCCCAGCCAGCAGTCTGTCTCCAGTCGCCTAAGGCCTCGACGTGCGACGCTTAAGCCTCAGCAGTCAGGGATTGCCCCTCGCGCGCTAAGGATTGACCACAACCAGCGAGAACGACAGCTCTCGCTTTCGTATTACACACGTAGACACTTGGTACTCAGCTACGGCCTACATGACCATTGTTCGCATCGGATTGCACTTCTGCAAGTCACTTTGCTGCATCGTCGACTCGAGGCAGCACTGCGGCGCCGTCACGTGGGTGACAGCGGGACCATTCCCGATCAGTCATAGCCCAACAGGCCAAACAGGCCAAACAGCCAAACAGGGCAAACAGCCCCGCCGCTCCTTGCAGCGCGCTGACTAAGCCGTCGTTTGTTTACCCGTTACTCGGGGTAACCGTCCGAGTCGCTCGACTTAATACTCTGCCAGCCGGACTTTGTCGCTGCACAGCTTCCTCTGTCAGCGCTTTCACCCCATTCTCAACATTCCAGGCTGCGCGACGCAGTCTCATTGATGGTTGTTTCTTGATGACTCTGTAACTCCCCCTCCCAATTGCTGCCTTCTTGCTTGATCCCGTCGCATTTCGAGGACATCCAGTATGGATGAGAACTCTGGGAGCGCGGTATGCCGTCAGCGACGAGCGCATCGACATACATAGCTGACATTTACACAGATGGAATCTCGGCCGGCGTACAAAAGTCGAATTCCGACACACGCCGGCAGTTTGAGCGAGATGAATTCGTCACGCACGAATGCTCGTTCAGGCTTGATTCCTCCTGGAACCATCTCCGGCGCAACCAACAAGCCGTCTGGCATAGCTAGTAGGTTCGAGCGAATGAACGAGGTGGATGGTCTCTCACAAAAAACAGAGCCTACAAAAACGAATGCGCAAGCAGCACCATCGTCAAAAGTCGGCAATGGAACGACGAAATCCCACAATCGAAACAATTCACTATCCTCATCCCTATCTTCCAGAACGTCTTCGTCGCGGACAACCTCCAATTCTTCCTTTTCAGCCACGGTCGGCCCAGGTTTGCAACCACCCTCGCATGGAAACCCACGACCCCAGACTTCTTTCGGCTTTCGCAAGACCGGAGGCTCTTCTGTCCCTAGGCCGGCGACGTCATTGGATACCCATGATGAGGATATGTCTGGATCCCAGGTTCTTGGCAAAAGAAAGGGTATGCAGTTATCTCATAAGTCACATTTTCACCTTTCACCCGGATATTACGATAAGTACATGAACTACACGGCAGACTTGTCACCACGTCCAAGTGCACTGCCCATTCCCGATGCATCTACCGTCAGGAAGCGTGACACTTCATTGAGTGCCATGATGGGAAATCTGACCCTAACGGAAACCAAAACCCCTGTCGATTATACCCAAAACCCATGTAATACGAATAAGCAAGTGCGAAACACTATGCACTCTCGTGTACCCAAGGCCTTACACCACTCAAGATCATGCACCCTGGTCACCCCTTCTCCATCTCCTCCCAAGCACAGGTCTCCCCAGAGGCACCCACCAAGGATATTACCGTTTCTAACTAAGGACTCGAATATAAAAGCCTGGGATCACGAGAGCAGACTCCAGGACTTTGAGCAGGTCTGTGACGCCTTATTCGCCCGGATGAGCCAAGCAGGCCAGGACAGCTACGGTCTGAAGGAAACGGTGGAGCTTTACAAAACGCGAGGTACGTGTGTTCAGAGTCGTGAAGAGCAAGTTATCTGACAATCAATAAGTGAACGAACTCGAAGCGACGCGAACACAGCTCATGGACGCCAATTGCTCATTGCGGGTTGAATTGGAGACGTTGAAGAATAAAGTTACAGCTGCAGAGGAGGCACTCAAGGCCGCCGAGAGAGAGCATGAGATTGCGATGGATGAGTCCGACAGGCGTCTCCGCAACGAAGCTGAGACGATCCGGCAAGAATGTCAGAAGCAGATCGAGGCTCTGTCTTCACAGCACCAGGAAGAACTGCGGGAAGTTCGGAGACGTTATGATTCCGAGCTAGAGAATGAGCGCGCTCTCCGGCAGCGGGAAGTCAGTCAGATTACCTCCCAATGTGCTCTGGACACGCAGCGTGGGCAGCTCGAACTCGCGAACAAGGATCGCGAAATTGAGCGACTTCAGAGGGAGTTGCAGGCCGCGAAGGAGGACATAGAATTGGAGAAGTCGAAAAACCGAGATCTCCGGAAGAACTTGGATACTGCCAGCAGTAATAGCGTAACTCTCGAGTCGTCGATCCGCGCGCTCAAAGCACGAATTGAGTTCCTAGAATCCGGCAGCAAGGAACAATCGGAAGCATTCGCTCGATTGAACCAGCAACTTGCGGACGCCATCGCAGAGACGAACGCCGCAAAGGAGAAGTTGAGAAAGGAGGAAACGTTGCGCCGGAAGCTGCACAACCAGGTGCAGGAACTGAAGGGCAACATTCGAGTGTTTTGCCGTGTTCGTCCACCACTACCTGCCGAGCCGGCCAACGAAATCGCCCAGATCAGCTTCCCGGACGAGGGAGCCGACTGCAAGGAGATTTCGATTCTGGGACCAGAGGAGAAGAACAGTCTGGGTGTCGTCACTCGCAAGAATAACGCGTTCTCCTTTGACCGAGTATTTGGGCCGAATACGCAGAATGCCGATGTGTTTGAGGAGATCAGCCAGCTGGTGCAGAGCGCGTTGGACGGGTACAACGTGTGCATCTTCTGTTACGGCCAGACTGGCAGCGGCAAGACATATACCATGTCTTCAGAGGATGGAATGATTCCGCGGGCCGTCCATCAGATCTACGATACGGCCAAGAACCTGGAAGAGAAGGGCTGGACGTATAAGATGGAGGGCAACTTTGTCGAAGTGTACAATGAAAACTTGAACGATCTGCTCGGGAAAGCAGAGGAGTTCGATAAGAAGAAGCACGAAATCCGGCATGACATGCAGAAATGCAAGACGACTATTACGGACGTGACGACCGTCACACTTGACTCTCCGGAGATGGTCGAGTCGATACTGCGGCGTGCGGCGGCCAACCGATCGGTCGCAGCGACCAAGGCTAATGAACGGTCTTCGCGATCGCATTCCGTGTTTATTCTCCGACTGCTGGGAGAGAACAGTATCACAGGCGAGAGAAGTGAAGGCACGCTGAACCTGGTTGATCTGGCCGGCAGCGAGCGACTCAGCCACAGTGGAGCAACGGGCGAGCGATTGAAGGAGACGCAAAACATCAACCGCAGCCTGAGCTGCCTGGGCGATGTCATTAGCGCGTTGGGCCAGGGGAAGGAGGGCGGCCACATCCCGTACAGGAACAGCAAGGTGAGTTGAAGTTGGAAAAGTGTCATGGCCACATTGCTAATTGAGTACAGCTCACATATCTGCTTCAATTCTCGCTGGGCGGAAACTCGAAAACGCTGATGTTCGTCATGGTCAGCCCGCTGCAGGCTCATCTGGGCGAGACCTTGACGAGTCTGAAGTTTGCGACGAAGGTGCACAACACTCACATTGGGACGGCCAAGCGGCAGACCCGTGTTCGTGAGTCATAGGATGATATGATACCAATTTGTGATTTGTCTGGTGCAGCGAGTATTCTTTGTCGTATTGGTTTTGGGCGTTGTCTGAGAGCTGACTGTGGTCTGCTGACCTGTCATGTGTGTTGTATGTATGTATGATGATTTGGTATAATGCTACTTAATTTGGTATTGCAATGCAGTCCTGGGAAAGAAAAGATGCACTTAAGAGTAGAATCTTCAACTCGACAAGAAACCCACAATATCCTCCTCCGTCTTCTCCGGCCGCTCAATCCAGGGAAAATGCCCACAGCGATCGTAGACCTTCAGCTCCGCCCCATGCGGAATACCGCGCTGCGTCTGCTGACCATTGTCAACGGCGCAGATCATGTCGTACTTCCCGGCGATGATGAGCGTCTTGGCCCGGACGTCCTTGAGCTTCTGGACCATGGGCCTTGTGGGACGATACAGCTGCTCTGCGTCACAGGTGCCCTGGGCGTGCTGGCACCATGCGGAGACGAGGTCTTTGCCCATGGCGCGAAGGAGTTGGGGCACGCCGCTGTCCGGATCGAAGAAGTATAACGGCAGGATGTCTTTCCAGTACTGCGTTGCTTGCTCGTCCGATTCTGTTTCTGCTGTCGTTTTCGCCTGCGACTTTGACTTCGCCTGCTTCTTGACGAACGCAGCGCGGTACCGCGCATCGTCCTTGCTGCGCTGCATCAGCGACGTATCCGGCGTAAGGCCGACAAGACGATGGCACAGCAGGACGAGCCTGTCGACACTATCGGGGAACTTCTCCGCGTAAGCGAGCGCTATGGCCCCGCCGTTGGAGTGGCCCAGGAGGGCAGGGAATTTTGCAATCTTCAGATGCCGCCGCAGCAGCTCCAGATCGTCGGCCATGGCCCATGTGCCCATGTCGGACTCGCCCCCCGGAGGACGCGACGAGCCGGCCGTGCCTCGGGGAATGAAGTAGAGGAGTGTGTAGTGCTCTTCGAGTAGCGGCGAGAGGCCTTCCCGGAGGTAGCGCGCGCCGATGCCCCAGCCGGGACATTGTATGACCAGCAGAGGTTTTCTTTGTGTCTGGTTCTGGTCATTGTTTTTGTTCTCGTGGATGATGTAGGTGAATGTCATTTTTGCTGCGTCTGCTGCTGCTGGTGATGATGATGACAGTGGCGAGGCAGTAAAGGTATGCTCTCCTGGAGAGAGGAGAGAGGAGTCGGATGTAGTCATTTGCAGCTGTCTACAGCTACAAGATATATAGATACAGATTTTTCGAATGTTTGTACAGTGTATATATATGTTCTGTGTTCTGTCCCGGTACAGCTGTTTCATGGAGATGTTCTATTCACTGCGGAGTGGCATACCTGATAGAGAGCACTGACTAAGCATGACATAGATGATGGTGAATCTGAATAATAACATCCGCCAAGAATAATTGACAAAGGCATCCAAAGCAGTAAGACAGTAATGCAGTAGGAAGACAGCTTGTAGTTCCAGCCATAACAATTTTTCTAACGAAATGGCTTATTCTCCTCAGAGGTGATATAACGAGCACCATCCATCTCAATATTAATTGATATCCGACTAAATATTGATTATTACATCTGGATCATTCTTAGGATCGATCGATCGATCGATCTCAATTTCAATGGTAAGTAAGTAAACAAATGTTGGCAAGGTTTAGTTTATTATTCCTGCTTGAATGATGTCTACCTGGTAATGTAATAAATAAGTACAGTACAACAGGGGGGGAAAAATAAAAAATAAAAATAAAAAGGGAGAGAAAGAGAGAAAGAAGCGGGAATGTTACTTGTTTTACTTTTTTTTAATTTTTTTTCGGGCCCTCATCCATTCATTCTATTTTACTCAATAGTACATTATATTTTAAATTCCAGAAAAAAATTGCGTAAACAATGAACTGACCGGGAAGGGCAAAAAAAGGACTGAATCGGTCGGTCAATTTGAATTTGCTAAAAATACTACATATGAAAATAAAATAAAACCAAATAAATGAATCAATAAAAGAAGCACTAATAGTCATTATTATGTCCACTGCTCGTTTAATTGTACTGTATTAATAATGGAAATATAGACACAATGTCGTCATGACTCATTGTAGTAATGATAATAAAGACAATTTTATTTATGATGACCAGGTATACCACCCACTTATTCACGAGATGGTAATTATTTGAGCAATAGTTTATTTATTCTACTATGTCAAATGCTGCAGCTCGAGTTGTATATTAGGATTATTTATTTCCATTTAGCTTTCCTACGGAGTATAATAAGCATAGCGAGTGCCTCATGGAAAGACTCCTCATTGCCATTTTTTTTTGGTCTAATTTATTTATTTATTCATCGTACATTCATTCATTCGCTCTGCTTTTACCCTGTTTTTTCCCCGCCGACTAATAATAATCCCCAGATCTAGGTAACCTTCTTGCACTTAATTAGTGCCATCTAAGCCAGGGATAGTATGGTATACGAACCGATGCGCATGTGAAGTATCCATTTTTGGCAATGAATACGGTTACGAATATCCCCTTACATCACAATTCAATGAACAGAGTATATTGTTAGACTGAGTCTGTGAGCTTGGCGTATGGGGTGATTAATTGCTTGACGATGTCTTGGTCTCGGTTCTCGCGTTATTTTACACCGAGATGCTTCTCTTGGAATGAAGATTCAATCAATGCTTGTTTCCCCTGGCTGTTCTTCCCCGCATACTAGTTGATGATAATATTGTGGGGATGGAGTGTGGCTTGGTAGTAGGTTGCAGCAGCAGCAGGATATAATAATCCGAAGGAGAGAGAGACATAGATGTATGTGCATGCAAATCCTGTACAAGACAAATTGCCCAAGGTAGACACACAATGGCACTTGCAACGAAAGCAACGTGGCAGCTCGTCCTCATCTTCCTCTTTCTCCTGATATGCCTCTGCTCAGCAGACACCAACGACCAAGTAGGCGCCAACATCAACTACGGCACATTCCAGAATCCCTCGGCGAGAATCCGTCCTCGATTCCGGTACTGGCTACCAGACGCCAGCGCGGACACGACAACCGTGCAAGAGGACATCAAATCCGCGGGTGTCATCGGCGCCGGAGGAGTCGAGTTTCTCCCCTTCTACAACTACGGCGGCGAAATCGGCCCTGCGCCGCCCGGGGCAGACTGGGTTCGCTACGGGTTTGGAACGCCTGCGTTTCGGCAGGTCTTCCGCGCAGCTCTCGAGGCGCATAGGGAGAATGGCCTGGTGATGGATTTTGCGTTGGGGCCTAATCAGGGACAGGGTGTTCCTGCGGAGTATGATGATGAGGGACTGCAGTGGGATTTGGTCAGTGTCGATATTATCGCGATGGCTTTGCTTAGCAGCTGCTTGCTGACTTTCTACAAAGGCACCATTCTCCATCGCCCTGCCGGCCAATGGGTCGTTTGAAGGCATCGTTCCTGGCTGGGGTACAGGACAGCTCGTGGCATTTGGTCTTTGCTGAAGTGCTGTCGTCAACAAACCTCACGCTGTCTGGGGACCCGACCCTGGGTGTCGCGCCAAGTTCGTATCTCCAGCTGGTCGTCAAACACGACAGCTTGCAAGACTTGACAGACAAGGTGTCTGCTGATGGGCATGCATCTGTACAGCTCTCCTTCAAATCCCGCCTCTTTGCCTTCTACCAGTACCAGACCCATCATCAGGCCTTGGCTGTCTCGTCCAATGCTACCGGGACGATCTTCGACAATGGATCCTATACCGTCGACCACTACAGCGCCAGAGGAGCAAACACCGTCACTCGCTTCTGGGAGGAGTATATCCTCACTAGCGAGGATCAAGGAGCTGCTTACCGAAGTAGGGAATTACGGTAAGCTAGAATTGCCATTTTCAAGACATAGAGGTTCGAAAGCTTCTTTCTGCTAACGATATGCAGCCTGGGAAGACAGCATCGAAATCATATCCAACATCTCGTGGACACCGTCTCTGCCCGACAACTTCCAGGAGATGTACGGCTACAGCCTAAAGCCGTACCTCCCCGTCATCATGTTCGGCAACAACAACCCAGGCATCCAGAGCTCATCGCCAGGATCGATCCAGGTGCTCCTGGACACGCCGGACCGAGGCACGGGGTATATCGACGACTACCGCGGCGCTCTGGTCCAGGGGTATCGACAGTATCTGCAGGCGCTGACGAACTGGACGAACACGTATTTGAACTTGCAGACCTCGACCCCAAGTCTCGTACAACCTGCCCATGGACATGGAGGCCAACATCCCCTTCGTCAACGCCCCGGAATGCGAGAGCCTGGGCTTCGCAAACAGCGTCGACGCCTACAGACAGTTCTCGGGCCCCGCCGTACTGGCCGGGAAGCGCGTCGTGTCGAACGAGATGGGCGCGGTGGAATTCAAGGCCTATCAGTATCCCATCCCGGAGCTGCTGTGGTCCGTGAATCGCGCGGTGGCAGGGGGCGTCAACCAGATGGTCTTCCACGGGCAGTCGTACACGGGCGACTACTACGCCACGACGTGGCCCGGGTACACGGCGTTTTCGTACCTCTTCTCCGAGCTGTATTCCAACAAGCAGCCGGCGTGGGAGCATTGCTTCGCCGACGCAGTCAACTACATCGCCCGAATCCAGTATACGCAGCAGACAGGCCGACTGAGGACGGACGTGGCGGTCTACAATAAGCAGTCTGCGACGAACACCAGCTTTGCGCCGGTCTATGCTGATGTATGATCTGCTGAGGTATGGCTACACGTACAGCTACCTCTCGCCGGACAACTTCAATCTCTCGCAGGCGTATGTGCAGAACGGTGTCCTTGCTCCCCAGGGCCCGGGACACAGGGCCTTTGTCATCCCTAGCACCAGCAATCTGACTCTGGCAGCTACCGAGAAACTCCAGCAGTACGCTGATGCAGGTCTACCGATCATTCTCAGCGGCAGAGACCCAGGCTACTACGCATCTGGGGATGGCAGTGGAAAAGACGCAGTTGAAAAGGGAATTGCATCCCTGAAGAAGCTCCCGAATGTGTACAGTGTTCCGGCTGGCGAGGTTGCGAACCAGCTCTCTGCTCTGGGAATCAGACCTCAGATCCAGATCCAGACTAACGGGACATGGTATACCACCTGGCGGGAAGACGTCCGAACGGGAGTCGACTACGCTTTCATATTCAGTGATATCAACGCCTCTGTTGGCAAAATCGATATTGCGAGCACGAAGATTCCATATCTCTTGAATCCCTGGACGGGTGAGGGAAGCCTACTGCTTGAGTATCAGCAAGATGAAAACAGCACCGTGATCCCCCTGACGCTGGCTGGGAATCAGACTGTCGTCATTGCCTTCCGCGAGCAGGCGAATAACACTCTTCTTCATGCCACTCAACTCCCATCCACCGTTCTGGGTTATAGCTACAGCGAGAACGAAGGGTTCGTGCTGCACGTCTCTGCAGGACCATTCGACAAGCCCTCGCAGGTATCAGATGGTCGGACGATCAGCAATCTTTCATCAGCTCCAGCTCCCAGCTTCGTACTCTCAACCTGGACGCTGACGGCCGAACACTGGGAAGCGCCGTCCAACCTGTCTGATGCAGCAACCATTGCAGTGAAACACAACACAACGCATCAGCTAACTTCACCACTCGTCTCATGGACCGACATTCCGGGTCTTGCCAATGCGTCTGGCGTCGGCTACTACACGACAACTATGACATGGCCGCCGACGAGTGCTGGCGCAGCAGACGGCGCATACCTCATCTTCACATCAAAGATCCTCCACGCGGTAAAGGTATACATCAACGACCAGCTCCTCCCGCCGGTAGACTACGCCGCCGCACCAGTCAAAGCAGACATCGGAAAGTACCTCAAGACAGGGGACAACCGCATCCTGGTTGTCGTGCCCACAACAATGTGGAACTACCTGCGTAGTATCCTGGACGAGCTGCAAAATGCGGGGTTGCCGCCGCTGCTTACCGTGGTGGGCGATGTGCCGGGACAGACGGAGAATGGGCTGCTGGGGAGGGTGGAGGTTGTGCCGTATGTAAACTTGAAGGTGACTTGACGGAATGAATGACAACCTGGATAATCCGGTCTTTCAAGACAGAGAAGTACATTGTTTCCTGTCCTTATGACATACACAGTATCATTAGTATCTTGCAACCTCATCTTACCCGTACATAATCCAATCGAATCCTCTTCTTGTTCTCAGATCAAGAGACCTTCACTTCGTCACCGGCCGCTCCTGCTTCACCCCATCGACCCAGACATCCAACTTCTCGTCATAAAACGCCACATGGCCTCTGATCTCTGCGCTTTCCAGGGTGGGCGTCTTGTACCACCACACGAGGCCTTCTTTCTTTGCTCCTGTCGACGGGAGGGTGATGTCGAAGTAGCTTGCGTCGCCCTGCGAACGTCAAGATAAATATGTACTGTATGTACTGTACAGAAGGAAATGGAGGTGGGGTGGGATGCGCACCTTGTATGGACACGTCGTAACGCTGTCCGACGGCGTGAGCAGGTCCAGCCGGACGTCCGTCATGGGGATATAATACCTTATTGGCAGGCCCGTTTCGTACAGCAGCTTCGGCTTCCTGGTATTGGCAACCTCGACGCCATCGATCTCGACGCGAACATGCTTGGAGGAGGGGAAGATCTGGATTCGCTGTATGCAGTATCAATACCTATTAATCAAGGACGTATATGTGATGACAGGAGGAAAACCTTGTACGGATCCTTCGGATGCGCATAGACGCGCTCATCCTCCTCGAACCACGCATCCGCCTTGTCAAAGACGACTTTGACAAAATCCTTGAAAGGGCCGTCTTGGAACAGGATCACGGCAGCCTCGGCGGTGCGGTCGCCCACGACGAGGTCGTAGTACAGCTTCTCCTTGCTCGAATCCTCGAGGAGTCGTGCATTCTGCAGGTGGTCGAACGAGACGGCCGATTTGGGGAAGTAGTAGCAGGGGAAGTAGGGGTGTTCCCAGCTGGTCGCGATCATAGCAATGTGAACATCAGGCGGCCGTGCGAACAGAAGTGGTTCTTCGCATCAATTGCGTTGTGTATGTGGTACGTACACGAGCTTGGGCTTCTGCGCGTCAACCACGAACTTTCCGCCGAAGAGGACGCGCACTCTTCGGACGACATCTTCCGAGTAGCCTGCGTAGGGGAACGGCGGGGCCATTTCGTTATTTATGGGACGTAAACAAGCTGGTTGAGGGGGCAATTCAGAGGCTGGTGATAAGATAGGAGCGATGATGCCATCCATACGAGTGGGAATGCGGGGAAGAGCACGTGATTGTGTTGATATTGACTTTGCCAAGAGAGTTTATGCGCTGCCTTATTTTATTTTATTTAGCCATGGTTAATTCTATTGATGGTAGCTTGTCTGGGTCAATCAGCTTCTGCAGAGACTAGTGTATTGCTTGATTGATAGCGCTGCTTTGCATTTACATGCACGCAATTATCGGAACTATCTCCGTATGCCGAGGATTGTTGTATCTTAACCTTCCTCCTCCTTTTTTTTAAAAAAAAAGTTCCTACTGCCATACTACCTGGAAAAAGACAGACAGTCTAACAATAAAGCACACCTACTCTAAAGTGAAATTTAAAATAATATCTTTTTTTTAGCTCAAGAAAAGGAATCCATTCCTGAACAAAAACGCGGAGTAAGCTAGCTTATCCCGTTAAATATGGAGCAATAGTTTATTTTTTGATTTGACCAGCTAAACCACATCAGGCATGACCCTTTCCATCCCAAGCTTTCCGGCATTCCCTTCTGGGAAAGTTATGGGGATGCCATCGGACCACAGTCGTCCGCTCGCCCTCCACACTTTGATATCGGCGGAGATTGGGGTAGAGCGGCGGAGGACTCTGGTCCGTACGGGTTTTTATTTACAGGGTATTGAGAATTTCAGGATTTCTTTCTGTACAGTACTAATTGAGCGGAAAGAAGGGGAAATGAAATTGGATAGATGAAATAATATTTTCTCATTGTTGGATTTGATTTTATTTTGTTTATCTTCCAGGAATTTATTTTCTGTCAGAAACCTGGTCTTGATTGACTTTTTGACTTTTTTGTTTCGATTTTAGTATTCTTATTCTTATGCCTCGACACTATTGAGCATGATCTGAGTGCAAAACAGATCGTTGCATTCGTCACATCCAGGACGGCTACCTACAGCACTATTCCTGTCCAGGATTGAGCTGAACATACCATTATTATTAATATTGAGACTGGCTTGGAAAAGAAAAAAAAGGAAATGGAAAGCGAATACGCCCGTCTCACCGATCTCATCCGCTCTCGCGCTCGCTCCCATCCCAAAAAGCGACTCCTCGTTGCCATTGCTGGAGCGCCTGGATCAGGAAAGACCACTATCGCCAAGGAGGTTGTTCGACGACTGAATGCGTCGTCGTCATCGCCCACAGTCAATGGCACGTCTACTGTCAATGGCACATCGGCCGCTCTACAGACACACACGGCCGTCCTCGTCTCCATGGACGGCTTCCATCTCCCCCGCGCCACGCTCGACCAGCTGCCCAACCGCGAGGAGGCCTACATCCGGCGCGGGGCGCCCTGGACGTTTGACGTGGAGCGCTTTGTAGCGTTCATGAGGGAGCTGCGTGCATGGGCAGACGACGACGATGAGCAAGACGAACAGAAGAAGAATAATTCCGTGATATACGCGCCCTCCTTCGACCACGAAGCCAAAGACCCGGTCGAGAAGGGTCTGCAGATCCCGTCCTCGGCAGAAATCCTCATCATCGAGGGGAACTACCTCCTCCTGGACGAGCCGCGGTGGAGGGACGTCGCGGGCCTGGTGGACTACCGCGTGTTCGTGGACGCGGATCTGAACGAGACGCGCGAACGAGTGGCTCGGAGACATGTCCGGGCGGGCATTGAGAGGACGATCGAGGACGGGTACCGCCGGGTGGACAGCAATGATCTGCTGAATGGGAAGCTGGTCCGGCAGAAGCTGATTGAGCCGGATGTGGTGGTGAGGAGTGTGGATGATCCGGAGGAAAAGAAGGACTGAAAACGATAGAAAGACGTGTATGTATATAATTTATACTAATACTTTCCCATATAAAGCACACATTATAGAGTCAGAATCTATAGAGATATCAGCAGGAGATAGAACAGAATTGGTCACAACAAAATCAGGCAGTTGATATTTAGCTTGTTTAATAACTATCAGCGAGATAGAGTGAATATACATATGAAACATTCTACTATTATCTTCTCTCCTGCTAGACCGTTACTTTGGATCTTATTTTGGGGGCTACGATAACTTATAAGGATTATTCATTCATTTTTGCACTGGATAAGAGCTACCAGCTTGACATGACATAATCTGCAGAAATCAATTGACAATATCATGTCATATGCGGTCTAATTACTTCCAGTCAATGCAGACGGTAAAGATAGTGGATTTGACTAAAAAAAATAAATAAAAGAAAAGATCTCTGATTATGAAAGAGACAACAGAAACAAATGACAAGGATCGATCAGCCCCCATCAATCATCTCCTCTGTTTTCCTCTAGGCCCAACCCTAACTTCTAGGTGTATACTTCCTGACACCTATACGAAGTGGTTACTCCGCCATCATAGCATACAGCGTCAATCCCTCCCCCTTCTCATCCGGCTCTCCGCTAGCGTTGACCTTTCCCACACCCAACCGCACCTCCGCCACGGTGCGGAACGACAGATGCTCGTAGACTTGCCTGCCATGCTCGCTCATACACTCCAGCCAGACGGGGACGCCTTGAGCACGGGCCCGCTCCAGATACGGGTCGATGAGGGCGCGGACGACGCCTGCTGTCGTCAGTACCTTCTTTTTTTTTTTGTAGGGCAATAACTGACCACGCTCACTCCGCTCCGGATGCCTCCCAAGCAGATTGAGATACCAGTGCTTCCGACCACGAAGATGCTGCTGTCTCACGGGCGTGAAAGCCTCCCAGAACTCGCGCTCTTGCCAGCTGCGATCGATGTCCGGGGGAATGTAGTTGACGTCGGGAGGGAACCTACATGTATGTACCAATCAGCAAGCATCGTTCTCGACGTATTTATTCCTCCTCATCAGGGATACGTACCAAACAGCAACAGCAGCCCAATTCCCCGCCTCAACCAATTCCGCTCCCATGGCAGCCTTCTTGGCTACATTCTTCTGATAATGCGGCACAATTATCTCGGAGGGGATTGCGTCAGCAGGCCATGGTGTAGACTCTGCGCCGCGGAGCAAATATGCTATGTACGGAGAGCGGGAGAAATGCAGCTGCAATGACTGTCCCGACGCGATCGGCGTACTCGGCGCCTCCTGTTGTGATTGGGATGGTTTCGGTGGTGGACATGGCAGTAGGGTAGGTAGATGTGGACTGGTTGATCAGGCGAGAGGAGATTGTTGATGGATGATGCTGGATTCAGGTACAGCCGTGTAAATTTAGCACATGTGTGTAGAGTACATGCATGTATTTATATTGCGCTCTAAGACCCCATTTATTGTGACTCATGGCTTTTTTTTATTGTTGCTATAGATGCTTGCTGGCAGTTCACGTCGGGGACCATCTGATGAATAGTCGAGGGAACCTAAGTGCAGTTGTTCTCTCTCCTGAGTGGTGAGTCAGACGAGCCATAATTAACTAAAACAAACAACATAGCTGAAACAGAACAATGTCGCAGGAAATCCAAGACTGTAGGTCTCTGTTCTAACTATTATGTCAAAAAAAATTTTTTATTCGCTGACCCATCTCTATAACATGCATGTGCATAGAATATTTGTCTGTATGACAGCCGATTTGTATCAAAAATAGGCTAGACCGTCAATCGCGATATTCTGAATTGAATCTGTCAGAACATTTCTTCGTCATCTATTCAAATCAACGTCAAACCGAAAAATACTCTATCCCACAAAATCTGCTTTTACATATTTTAGAGCTGGAAATAACTCGACTTTTGTATCCAGCCTGCGACTATATATCTCGCGTTCCGAGACAGACTTCGTCGCAACTACTGCTCGACCCTGTTAAAGTATCTAGACGTTATTTTGTGCCTGCTCATACCGATACTGCTGTACCGCGTGTTCACACTACCGCTGCGAAACCGATCCCAACTCCGTGGCCGTCGTCGCCGCCTGGGTCTGAGGTGCCAACGTCGACGTCAACTCGACTGCATCAGCCGGATCAGCATCGTTCTCGTCTGCCCATCCCTCGCGCTCATCCTTGACGAGCCTGACGAAGAAGACATCTAGCACCAGCGCCACCGCACTGATGCCCGCTGCAAAAAACAACGCCGCTTTGTACCCCCTGACCGGGTCGGAACCCCCTCGGCCAACTTGGGTTTCGACCGTGGACGCAAATCCCAGGCCAAGACTGGTGCCGTATAGATTTAGCGTGCCGATTAAAGAACCCGCGACGCCCTGCTGGTGCCGTCGCACGGAGTTGCTTGCGATGATTTGCGCGGCTGTGTACACCAGGTCTGGACAGAAGGCAAACAAGATAACCGATGGAAAGACGTTCGTCCAATACAGATACCGATGCTGTTGCGCGGGCATCGTCGCCATCAGCAAGTTAGATGCAAGGATGGTAACGGTACCGATGGCCAGAATCCACTGCGCTGCCAGCCGTGGAATCAGCCATCCTGCCAGACACGCGGCGATGGTGCCGAACAGGACAAACGGCGACCAAGCCACCGCGAACTGAAGCAGCGAGTAGTGCCAGATCTTCTGCAGCCAGACCGTCTGGTACCAGTTGAGCGTGCCAACAGCCATGTAGTTCAGCAGTGAGACGAGGATCAGCGCGGCAAACGACGGCGCCTGGAAGATGTCCAGTGGCATGATGGGATGTGGAATATAGCGCTCCCAGACAGCAAAGGAGACGAAGAGCAGGATGGACACGATCAGCAGGGCAATCTCGTATGGCGTGGACCAGCCCACGCCGGGTGCTTGACTGGTTGAATTAGTCGACGTATATCAGGGCACGGACAGTAGTGACGTACTTCCACACAAAATTGAACACGATTAACGCGCCGGTTCCTAGACCAGCACCGATCCAGTCGATCTTCCCCCCTCGATCGACAGGTACCTCGCGGGGGAGAAGAGCCCACAAGGCGGTGATATTAAGCGCGGAAAGAATAGCTCTGAACAGCATGAGTATGTCGTGTACATGCCTTCGAAAACGGCAGAACCTACATGAAAATGAAAAGCCACCTCCATGCACCGTTGTCGACGAAAGCCCCTAGCAGTACTGCCCCGAGATACCCACCCAGCGGTGCAGACGCGCTGAAAAAGCCCAAGCTCAGATTCCTCGCCCGACCCGGCGGATTCGTGATGGCGAGCATGGCGACTGCGTTGGGCAAAATGAACGCGCCCCCAATCCCGGACAGGGCTCGCAGCGCCGCAAATGAGATGAAGTTGTTGCAGAATCCACAGGCGAGGGTGCAGACAGCCAGCCAAACACCTCCGGCCAGCAGCATGTTTTTGTGTCCGTACACGGCGCCCATTCGGCCGCTGATCAGGACGAATGTGCCCTGGGTGAGACTATCGTCATCAGCAGATCGTCACGCTAATAATCATCGAAGAGAGTCTAGCGAAGCTGTATGAAACTTACCCATACGACGCCGCAATCCACGTCGCTTGCGTCCCTTTCGCACTCAGCAACTCACTCAGTCGTAGGCCACCGCCAATCCCGACAAAGTTCGCAACCATCTGTCTCGCGCAGCTGTCAGATGAGATCTTATGTTTGAATGTCTTGACGATAGATGACTAGCTTACCTGAATAAGATTGCTCACGATGATTAGGACCGTGATGGCCGTCCGACGAGACTTATTCATGACATTCAGCGGGGCCACATCGAAAATCCGGCGCATTGTCTCTGTGGGCTCTGTCTGTAGCGGTGAGGCGGCATTGACTGCACGGTCGACATCGTTTGCAGCGACTAATTCAGGCGAGTGCTCTTTTGAAATTGGAGCATGGCTGCTTTCTGCTTGTGACAGAGAGGAGAGCTCCTGCTGTCGTTGTTCGACCACATCTCTTTCTTCTGTAGGAAGAGGACGGGGATGAGCAGGCTTTGGGTCGGAGACCTCCTCTATGAAGCTGTGCCGTATGGTGGCGGCGTCAATGAGGGCAGACATTGCAGGCTGGCTAATACGTATTTGTGAATCTGACGACTGCAATGAGCAAAATTGGAATTGAGCTGGAATTCCAAGCTCAAGGAGGATATCCGTATCTGCCGCATATCGATCATAGCAATAGAATCTGGTCAGATGCTAAAATATAAGGTCGAGATAGCTGGCATGTTCATGTGACCTGATCTTATCTTTAGTAACCAATTACCCAAATGGAGCAATGCAGCGTGACTCATCTTCACCGACTGTGCGGAGTACCCTAGTAGGAATCCCCGCCATTATCGTGTCGGTAGCATTTGTAATAGTGCTGGTCGAGAACGTGTGCGTAAAAAAAAAGGAAAAGTGCCAGGGCCGACAGATGTCGGATGGGTTTCCGTTTTGGCACATCGACAAGGATACCTAATTCCGCCCTGGTCGCTCGCTCCACCTTCCCTTTTCTCAGCTTCTAGTGACTTGATATCGATAGGAATCCGGGTAAATTGTTCTGAATATAAGATGAAATTCTGCTTGAATTCCTTGCAATCCTTTAGGAAGAAGTTCATTACAGTACGTAGCAAAAGCTTGTATGAGAAATATCCATGCTTAACTAATAGTGTTCTGTATGTAATTTTCTTTCTGGCTTTTTCCTGACATGTTATCATATCAAGCCTCCTACTCGATGCAAGAAGAATCAACCTGTACAGTTAGCTGCGTGATTTATAATCTCTCGAAAAAGACAGTCAAGGTTTGTAAAGGGCCGCCATGCGAGGTATATTCCAGGAGTTTGTCTTGAAAGAACGACGAATAGCTGCCTTATTACCAGCAAAAAAAAGGGTGGGGGGGGAAGAAAAAGGGAAAAAAAAAAGGAAAGAAACAGAGAGAGAAGAGAAATTAGACATACGTCCAACAATAAATTCCAAAAGCAATGTAATGTAGGGTATCCATGAACAATCCTTTCTAGAATGAAATGAATCATCATCGTCGTGCATAAAAGATAAGATACAGCACAGGAAAGGCCACCAGTTAGAAGAAAATCCGCAGAAAGGCAGCAAATTCAAATAAAAGGAAGATCCATCGAGCTGTATCGCTCGCCTGCCTCTTCGAACCTGAACTGATTTCGTATGTATTCATCAATGACGAGATCATCATAGACAGTCCAAAAGTCCCCGTCGCTAGGGGACGGGAATGCAGTGTTCTCGTGATCGTTATCATGCCTGGACGGCGTCATCACAAGGGCAGGAGCATTTCTCATAACTTATTCTTCGGAATCGATCGCGGTAGGCGCAGGTCCAGTTTGTCGAGCATGATTATGCGAAACAATTTGGAACATTTTCCTTGCCAGCACCTTGAAGACATCGCGGAACCTTCGCACCGTTGGCCAACGTTCCGCAACAACGAAGAGCACAGTGGAACACGATCGAATGTCGTCAAAGAGGGTTAAGTAGACGTTGACATTCTCTCTGTTCGCCCAGAGACAATACAACAGGGTCAATCCTGCTGTGAAAATGGAATGCGTTGCGAGCAGAATCCAACCCAGCTGTCTCCGTTAGTGTGATGTCTTGTAGAACTGGCAGATGTCCCCCGCTGCCCGAGCGCAGATTGTTAGGTATTTCGCCGTAGCAGGATCCAGGCGACCATGATATCGACGACATGACATGATGCGCCGCTGCAGTAACAAGCGAACCGCTTTGCTATGTTGAATCTTGAAAAATTCCGGCGTGTGGTAGATGGAGTAGTCATATGGATCCAAGTTCTTGGCCGCGTTGTAATCGGGAATGCGCTCCTGCCACACATCCAATTCGGCCTTCAGGTTGTCGATAACGTGATCGTGTGATCCATCTGCGAAACAAATTCCCAAATCGGCAGCATAGAGCTGGTGATGGATCTTGCTCTCCAGCCGCCGAAGATGACATATATGGATAAAAGAAGAAAGCGTCGTAATCGAGATGAAATCGGTACTGACTTCGGGAGAATCCTGAATCTGCTGAAGCGGCCGAATTCTTTCGGGGTCTTTAACATCGTCGTCGATATTCACGGGGAGCTAGCATGGATGTATCAGCACGAAGCATACTGAGTAACAGACTTAGTCTTACCCGCACATCAATCTCATGATCACCGACAATATGCCTAATAGCAGTAAGCAAGACAGAAACAAAAAAAATTGGTTGTCAAATGGCTATTAAATACCTCCGGATTCGCACCCCTAGACAAGTCTTGATGAAGCTGGGGAATCCGAGCTCAATTGCCTGAATCATATAAATGATAAACAGGTATGTTTTATCTGGCTGCGCGTCTTGTGATGACAGCCGTCGCTGGTTGTCGGCCTCATAAAACGAAATTTTATCCATGAAAGGATAGCGAAGGTAAACTCTGCTGAAAAATACCGAGACAAAGTTGTCCTCGACATCGGCTGGCCGTTCAGACGAGAGGTCTGTGGTGCTTGAATTATTATTATTGAGAGGTCTTATGGCAAGCTCGACGTCTGGCTCGAGATAGGGGATGTCAGAAGACTGAGACTGTAGGCGGCTTTCAAGATCTGCTACTTTTCTCTCCAGCTACTCCGTATACCTCAAAATCTCGGAATGGTTGACAGCAGCCATGCCGGCCGTGGGCCATTACATACAGCCTTGGAACTTAGCAGCCTTGTAGAATCTCTCCTGCACATGTATGTGGTTGCCTTACGGGTGCCTGCTTTCTGACAGGCTGCACAGGTCGGTGTGTGTGCATTACACTAAATCGTCAACCCAGGAATATTATCATAATCGTTATCAAACGGTATCTTGGTCGTCTCTTGCAGCGTTGATATGTGACTGAGGCGACTCTGGCTGGGAGAACGATGCTGGTGCAGCAATGACAGCATCCTCATCAGTGGATCTGGTATATGAGGAATAAATCAATACTGCAGATGCTGACATGCATCCAAGAAATACCTCATATACAGTACTGTACAGTACTTTGACCGTTAGAGATAACAGCATACTTGCCAACAGTCCCTTGCAATTGGCGCCCGCAGCCCAATTATGGTCTGTGCATGACAGCACGTGACGAAATCAACCTTATCACGCTTATGTCATCATTATCTACCTTCCTATTAAGGGTTAGTCAGGCTTGGCAGTCAGGTGCCTTCGTACCCGTGCTCCCGCCCCAACATCGTCCCGTGTTGGTGCGTTGCACCGTAACGTCCATTTTGACCACAACGTCCAATTTTGAATATTTCATCAATTTTCTCAACATCTAGACTAGTATCTAAATACATTAAATAGCGCATTAATATCTCCTGGATCCTGGCTATCTCCCTGAGTATTTTCAACAGTATCCGACCGTTGTGTAGTGGTGGGAATTGGCTTTGAAGGTTGGCGTTTCCGGACACGGGAAATAATCTTCTTTCGTTCAGCTTCAGCACGTTCAGCAACCTGACGATTTGCATCTTTAACTGTCAATGGCCCTATAGTAGGGATTCTTCTGCGAGATCTCTGAGAGCTTGGAGCGCGTGCACGCTCTAGATGTTGAGAGATATCGCTTTGAAGTTGGGCTGTCAATTCAGCTGTTTGTATAGCACTTTGAAAGACTCGGTCAAGACGGCGTGTAAAGCTTTGATCAAGGCTAGGATTTTCATTGACAAACTTATCCAGCTTCTGAATGCTCCGTCGCAGTGTACGAACTGTCTGGGGAGGAGAATTGGTTGAGATAGATTGAATTGATGGTGTTTTATCGCGTATATTTAGAACCGGAGATGGAGACCTTGCGTTGGCTAGAATGTCAAGTACTTTTGAAGGATTCCATGGATATATCCCCCGATCACTAAAGGCATCTCGGATTGTACGTTGTTTGAATGTATCCTGGCGAATTTGAGGGATATCACGAAGAAAGTCGGCCTTGTCCATAGTGGATATCCCCCACTGTATATTCTCATTGTTTTTCTTGCGAAAATAGTGTTTATAGGCCTGAAAGGGCTGACCATCAAGCGGCTGGACAAGATGGGTTGTATGAGGCACAAAACAGAAGGGTATAATGTTGTATTTCTCACAATAATTCAGAAAATTATATGTGAGATGGGATCCGTGGCCGTCCATAAGCAATAGTCTTGCATCAGTCTTAGAAACCCGCTTTTCTGTATGCTGATGGAAGTGCCTGATCCAATCCATTGCAATCTCATCTGTTGTATATCCTTTGGAAGCTGTAGCAATTCGATATTTGTCTGTATCCGCAAATCAGGAATTTGTTGATACCAACGTTCCAGTTGATATTCGCCCTTGAAGATGAAGTATGGAGGAAGGACAGTACCATCGGCCGCGATACATTCAATGGCTGTCAAGGATTCGTTTGTCTCGCTAGTTGCAATGCCTCGGGAGGCTCGTATAGGGTTGGAAGTGACGACTTTTTGAGATTTCCCCTGCCCTAATTGAAAGCCAGTTTCATCAAAGTTATATATATTCTTTGGTGGAATCCGGGCTATATATGGCTCCAAGAGATCAAACCAATGTGTCAGAATACCAATATCTTCTGCCCCTAGTCGATCTTTCTCAATTGGCTTCTGTTTGATAAGATGTAGGTCGTCAGGAAGGCGCTGAATAAACCGATATACCCAGGTTTCCCCTACGCGCGGAGCCGGCTTGGATACAGATAACACATTCCTCTGCAAAATCTGGTTTGCACAGCACTCTATCATCTTTGGGGTAGGCGGCGAATGTAGGGAATCAAGCTGTCGAATCCAGCGAATAATTGCCTTCTCTTGCTGGTCATCTAATACCTTATTGCGCGGGATTTTGGCGGTTCTTGGTGGCCGACCCTTGAAGCGTTCGTGAAGCCGTTTGCGAGGCACGTCGAATTCTCGCGCCAACGCAGAGATATTTGGCTTTTTTTGACATGAAGCCTTTTTTAAGGCCTCCTGGATTCGGGATTCGATTTTATCTGGCGATTTTGGCATTGTGGTGAGGTAGAAAATTGATGAAATATTCAAAATTGGACGTTGTGGTCAAAATGGACGTTACGGTGCAACGCACCAACACGGGACGATGTTGGGGCGGGAGCACGGGTACTGTACCTGCCACATTGGGAAACTCGGACCATCAACCTTACCCTTTTCCAACCAAACTCAAGAAAATTAATGACTACATATCTGCAACACAACGTAAATTGTTCGTATCAACTTAGGAACAAAGTATAGAAGCTTCATATCATATCATATAAAGTCTTATTAATCCTGAATCTAAAAATAAAGCTCCGATCACCACCATCGATCGATCGATCGATCGGCACGCAGAGGGCAAGAGAAATATATATATATATAAATATCTACAGCAAAGGATCTATTTAGGCAGTGACGCATGCTCTGCCTGAGAGTGTGTATGTAATGTAGCCCTACTCCTTACTTTCACGCAAATATGGAGTTTTTTTTTTGGTGTTCCTAACAGGTATACTATCCGTCAGAATTTGCTTCCTCCGATTGAAATTGTGCTGTAGTTGTCAAGATTTGTCATTATGACTTCAATAAATTAACCAATCAATCTGCCCTTGGGAACACAGCTAGCATTTCTGCCATCTGAATGATGAAAAAAAAAGAAAAAGAAAAAAAGAAAGAAAGCTGCCCCCAGCTGACTACCTAGAACCTGTCTATTACTGTACTGTACTTCATGAACCCTGCAGTAGCAATGAATGGTGGTTACATGTCTAATTAACAATAATGATAACATAACCCCTTTGAATCTTTTATTACATGTACTGTACAGAATAATATTAGAAGGGCGAAGAAATACACACTTTCAGCAAAGATATATATTTTTCGATTTATATGACCTCTAGTCCTCTACTTCCAACTTTGTATCGATCAACTGCACTCTAGGCAAACCTGCACCGGAAGATCTAGATATGGACACAATACAAATACTATTTTCATACTCTAATACACATACAGTATACAACGTCCAGACACTATACAGATAGTACATATACTATACTTCATTCTATCTTCAGCAATATTCTTTCTACTCCTCAGCAACCTACTCACTCGGCTGCTCCTGCTGACTCTGTTCAGCAATGGCATTGCTCAGCTGACCCAATTTCTCCTGAGCCCGATTCTTGGCGTCTTCGGAGACACGGGGGTTCTTGGTCGCGCTGTTCGAGAGGGAGAATGTCAGGTCAGCATGCGCAAGCTCACAAGGTGTATGCATAGCACTGAACAAGGTGCGACTCACGCCTTCAAACCTCCCTGCACCCGGTTCGGCTCCTTGGTCGGGTTCCGCATCGCGTACAGATCCTGTCTCGGCTGGTCACCGCCCAGCTGGTTGTCTAGCACGTCTTTTGCATTGTTTTTGGCGTCGTCCGAGACACGGGGGTTGTTGAGAGTGCTGTTGCATCAGTTAGTTATCAATGAACATTAATATCTCTATTTTGTATTTTCAACAACATACGCTTTGTAGCCGCGCATCGCATTGACGCGGTCTTCTGGCGAAGGGCCGGCCGGGTCCATATCCTCGAATGGAGCAGACATGCTGATAATATGAGAAATAAATGCCTGTCAGCTACAAATGACGATGAAATAGTATCACTTGAAGCAGTCCCGAACGAGCAGTCGTCAAAGCAATCGTGAGGGTCTTTGACAATTTTGGAAAAAGTTCAGCGACCACCACACTTTTATGAGAAGTGCCACTTGCTCAGCCACCGTGTGTGGCCAACCGTCGGAAAGGTCATCACGGCGTCACATCGTCGTCATGAAGACTTCATCCTATTCTTTGGTTGTGTACGGCTCACAGGTTCATAATCAAGCCATTGCGCCAAGTTCTGGCCTCTACGTTGATAACGATAATCGACGCTCTTATCAATCGAGCGTTAAGATCGATAAGAACAGAGCCTGGTCTTTTTCAGATCTTTCGTCATGACCAGTTCATGGCCTTACTTGACCGGCTCAGACCTTCTAAATGAAAGATATACTGGCCATCTCAGCTTATTTATCAAGAGATAAGGCAGCCGGTTTGATCGATCACCAGTCTTGTCGTTCACAGTAGCTAGTTAATTGGCGGAAGCCTTGCCGCCGGATGACGTCCTGAGAAGCTTAATCGCACCATCTCACCCTCCAACAGCACAACTGATGTCAATATTGCGTTGGGGTGCCGTTGGAGGCGGACACATAAATACTGCGTGACGAACGACATCATCATCGTGGAACTTTCACCTGCCATCTTGTCACTCGATTCTCACACTGTACAGTAAGTAAATCACATCGCAGCTATCAGAACATCATGTCGAATCCCGAGGAAAGAGAGGCCGAAGACCGCTACGAGGCGGAGAATGACCTTTCTCCCGTGCCGGGCACGCCGCCGCCGGACGACTCGTACGTGCGCGACACGAACCCCAACTGGACGAACAGGGTACAGCCGGACGATGCGCCTTACGACGATCCGGTGCAGCCGCCGTATTCCAACTCGGATGAGCAGCTAGGTAAGTGTCTGCTGAAATCAAGGCACAGCAGCGACTAACCGGCTACAGAACAAGATGAGAAAGAGGCGATCGACCCGTCCAACATCATCCAGGGCGACCGGCTCCGACACGCGAAGCCTCGCACGGCCAACCGGTACAACGAGGGTCCGGCCGAGGACGACCTGCCCGAGGACGTGCGAGACGGGCTCCAAGGCCGGTCGGCGGTCCGACGGGTGATGCAGTAAGGCGGCTTCGCCCATTAGTCATCTTGCCTGGAGCCCGTATATACGATACGCTGTATAATACCCCTGAAACAACAGACGGTGGGGAGACTTGGGATGACGGTGGAGGAGGGGATGAGGAGGAGTTCACGGATCAAGAAACGGAACATTTTGTACTGTACATCGTGATTAGCCTGTAAAAATAGAGACGACTCGGTATCTAATATTAAAGTATACCAAGCTATGCCGCTAGCAGCTGTCATGCAGCAAGCTGACGCGTCTAGAACAAGGACGATGAAGATCGTCATCTGCCGCGTGAGGCTGCTTACGTAATGCAGTGTTTGCCCTGTTTGCCTCGGCAGTCACGGGCTGCTGTGCGTCGGCAAAACTCGCCAGACAAGGAAGACCGTCCGTAGAGTTACACTTTCGACGCCCCCTGACGGTTGCATCGGCAACTCTCGCCTCCCGAGAGCTAGCTTGGTAGTCAAACTCTAAAGTCGAGAGCCTGGCGAGGATCGAGACTTGGAGGGATGGTACAGGGAGAGATCAGACCCATCGCCGTCTCCAGCGGGATGGGAATCTTCTCGATCGATATGACCCGTGGAACGGATTGCTGACGCTTTGACCGGTGGAACAGGTGGCTTGTGTCATCAATCAGAGCATTCTGGGGGAAATTGACAGGAGGAGTGAGCAGGACCAGAGACTGGCGATTGGCTCGATTGGATTCGCGGAATACAAATCTTTATGATATGTGAAATTGCACTCGCATAACTGTGGTGTCACTGTGGACGAGTCCGCTGGATCCGGCCCGTACAGTTGTATGTCCAGTGTTGCGTGGCTTGCCGTGCAGCCGGTGTAAGAGGCAGGATCCCGGCATCCACCCCGTGACGCTGCTCATTGGCCAAGTTCTAAAAAAGAAATGACAGGTCTGGTTGGCTGCTGCATAAAATAATGAAGGAGGACGCCTTCTCATCGCAGCCAATCAGCGGTGTGGCGGTGTTGGCAGTGGCCAGTCGCGTTGCAATGCCTGAGGACAGAAAACGATTGGCGGAAGGCTCGCTGTTAGTCATGCAGGTCAGGTGACTCGTGGCAACCGCATGCCGTGACTGGAATGTGCGGTTGCAAAGGACGAGTTGTGTTGCTGTGCGTATCTGTATCTGCATATCAGAAAGGCTCTTCTAGAAGAGCCTGTGGCTGATGCGTCGTGTGGGACTCGAGCCCTCCAGAAGACGCCGGCCCACGCCGTCGCCTTCACCACGGAGGTTATTTTTGCTTATCGGGCTGCTGCCGGATCGGCGTTCTTTTTATGGCACGCCAAGGACCTTAAGCACCCAACCTTAGTAGCTAGCATGGCCGTCATTCCGTGGTACAGTGGGAGGAAGCAGCACCAGAAATCAGAAGAACGACCTGGATGATGATCCTGCGAGGAACATCGCTGAGGCCGCCGTGCAGAGTGAATAGCAAATGCCTCTGCAGACAAGGAGCTGTTTCATGTTTCGCAGAGTGGCCCCCGCGAGCCCCCAGGATCGCAGCCAGGCCCAATGAGTCGCGCGCATGCCAGGCGCTGGCCAGGTCGCTGGTCTGGACTCGCAGTTCTGCTCCACATCAACGTCGCCTCGGAACGCCGGTTGGCGCCACGCCTTCGTCCTTCACGCCGCCCCCGCCAGGAACACGCATCGCCAGCCAGTGCTGCGCTGTCGTCCAGGCACCGCATTGCAGTGATTCGCACAGGGCCAGCAGCCTGGCCACGCTGCTGCAACACCATCGCTGGTTCAGATGGAGCCGTCGACGCCTGCCCGACGTGATGCCGAACCCAGGGTCGCCAGCTCTCCACGCCGGGCCAGGCCACATGCGCCCAGGCACAGATAGATATCTCGTTGCTCCCTCACATTCCTGCGCTGTCTTGTCTTCTGTCACTCCCCAGAGTCCTCCAGCTGATCCGGCAGTCACTTCACTCCTTCTGCAGGGCTGTCGCTCATTCCTCTCCCGCATTCCGATCTCGCATGGTCGCTCCACGCTCTCTTTGATCCAAAACATCCACTGTTGTCGTTCGTTGTCTGATTCTTTGTTTGTTCGACTTAAGCCTGTAACAGACCGCTGGATCGCTCTGTGTTTCGTCTTTCGCCCACCATGCCTTCGTCTTCGCGACTGCTGAGCCTGGGCGCGCTCGCCCTCTCGTCGTCGCTCGCTCGCCCGGCGCTGGCCACGACCCAGTACACCGTGGTCAACAGCTTCGCTGGCCAGGACTTCTTCAATAACTTTGCTTTTTCGACAGAAGCTGATCCCACCCATGGGTTTGTGCCCCAAACACCGTCGTTTCTGCAGCGTGGTGGCTGACGACCAGCAGATTCGTGCAATACGTCGACCAGGCCACGGCCCAGAGCCTCGGCCTCATCAACGTGACCCCCAGCGGCAGCGTGTACATTGGCGTCGACCACATCTCCACGCTGTCGCCCAGCGACCAGGGCCGCAAGTCGGTGCGCATTACGTCCAATGTCGGCTTCGATCAGGGTCTCCTCATCGCCGACATCCAGCACATGCCCGGCAGCATCTGCGGTGTGTGGCCGGCCTTCTGGACGACGGGCAACCAGTGGCCCGAGGATGGTGAAATCGGTAGGTTCTCCGCAACCTTGTGTGAAGGAGGCAGGACTAATGCGATTCCTTTCCAGACATCATCGAGGGTGTCAACCAGCAGGCCACCAACGAGATGGTCCTCCACACCCAGGGCCAGTGCACCATCACCAACCCGAAGCAGACCGGCACCCTGACGTCGGCGGACTGCTCGCTGTCGTCGGGCACGACCGGCTGCGTGGTTCAGGGCACCGCCAACACGTACGGCACCGGCTTCAACAGCATCAACGGCGGTGTGTATGCTCTGCTGTGGACCGACGAGGCCATCAAGATCTGGTTCTTCCCGCGCAGCGCCATCCCGGAGTCCATCACCAGCGGCAACCCCAACCCGGACGAGTTCGGCACCCCGCTGGCCGACTTTGAGGGCACCTGCGACATCGGCAAGGAGTTCCAGACTCAGAAGCTTGTTTTCGACACCACGTTCTGCGGTGACTGGGCTGGCGGCGTCTACGGATCCTCGGGCTGCCCCATGAGCCAGCCGAACAACGCCGTGGGCAGCTGCGTTGACTACGTGGCCTCCAACCCGTCCGCATTCACTGAGGCCTACTGGGAGATCAACTCGATCAAGATCTACCAACAGACCAACAACAGCGCTCCCAGCTCCTCGGCCCTCGCCAGCCGCACTGTCGCCAGCTCTGCGGTCGCTTCGTCCGTGCCTGCGGATGCCGGCTCTTCCACTCCGGCTGCGGTGACCCCTTTCAGCAGCACGGCCGCTGCCTCGTCCAAGGAGACTGCTACCACCGTGATTGTCACCTCGTACGTTGACGTCTGCCCGGAGGGTTTCACGACCAAGACCATCACCCACACGGCCACCTACTGCCCGGAGGAGGTCACTTCGGGCATTGCGCCGGGCTTCACGACCAAGACGACCGTCTGCACTGCTTGCGGTCCCGCCCCGACCACGGTGACTCTGACTGTTCCGGCCTCGTCGGTTACTGCGACCGCCACTCCTGCCGCGACTTCTTTCACCTCTGCCCAGGCCGTCCCTGGCTCGGCTACCACTTTCGTGAGCGTTCCTGTGCCGACTGGCAGTGGCAGCACTGGTAGCGGCAGCACTGGCTCTGGCGCTGGCTCCAGCTCTGCTTCTGGCTCTGCTTCTGGCTCTGCTCCTAGCTCTGGCTCCAGCTCCGGCTCCTCTGGCTACGGCTCTGGCGCCAGCTCCTCTGTCGCTGTTCCTCCCGTCGTCTCTCCCTCTGCTCCAGCTGGCTCCGCTCCCTATCCCGCCAGCAACGGCACCGCGTCCTCTCCTTCTGGCGCCGCCCCTGTTGCTTCCGGCTGGGGCTCGGCCTCGAAGACGGGCGCTGCCGGCGTCGGCTCTGTCGCGACGCCTTCCAGCAAGAGCTCCTCGTCGGTGCCGCCGGTCTTCACCGGCGCTGCCAACAAGGTCTCTGCTGGTTTGACTGGAGCCGTTGCGGCCGTTGCCCTTGCCCTGTTGGCATGAACATGAAATAAAATGAACATTGGAATGAAGAATATGAATTGACCAACAATCGTTCGTTCGTTCAATTCTTCTTCTTCTTTTTGTTTAGTTTATTTCTTTACTTTTATTTTTTCTTTCATTTGACTTCGTTGGTTTGACTGTACCAAGTACAAGACGGGACAAGACAAGGTCAAAAAAACAGAACCAAACCAACGTAGCCACTTTTTTTTTGTTTACATGTAAGAAATTTTTTCTTATTTTTGTTATTTTGGAATTTTCAGTTCAGTCACAGGGCAAGCAAGCAAACAAAATAGCAAGAAAAAAAAAAGCAATGGGCTGCATGTAAGTAGGTACCTTTTTTTCCCCTTGAATTGGCGATAGACTTGGAAATTTTTTGTTTGTCATTATTTTTGTCATTATTTTTGGCCTTTTTTTTGTGTGTGTTCGCTCGTTGGGAAAAAAGGCAAGGGAAAATAAATTGTCAATAACTTGCTTTAAGTTACTTTACGCTTAATCAATCTGGACAGTGGACAACAGTCAAGGGGAATAAAATGAAAAATAGAGTATAAGTGAAACAAAAATAAATAAATTGACACAAGCACAAGTCCTGGAATAGTATGTAGTACAATATACAAGTTACTACCTATGGCCACATACGTATACCTCCAGCATATGGTGTTCAGTGAGTTCACTTACTTACTTTACCTTGGCTATCTATCTATCTATCTATGACATGACCTGAAATAATTGAGAGAACATACAAACAGTGCGATTCATTCCTCATTCATTACTAGTATAGTATGCGCTATAAATAGTCGTTTGGGCATTAGAAATAGACATGGGCAACAATATTTAAAATTATGGCTAGTTTACACTTCTGCAAGCTTCTAAATAAAGGCCACAATTTGGATAAGTGTGATCAAATCATAAATGCTGCTCTAGACAGAAACTGTGGTTGCTTATGATCAGATCAACATAGGCAATTCACTTGTGGGTTTAGAAACGCATAAATGAGATTATGCTCTTTCTCCTTATCTACTTTTCAAAAGGTTTGCTGGTCTCAATGGTTCCATATTAAGGTGGGAGACACCTCTAAGCTTAAGCAATTGAGCAAGATCTGCCTACCCAAGGAAAGCTACTTGTTTGAATCCCAAAGTGCTGTTGGCAGAGAATGGTCAGGTAAATATAATGCTAGCATTTTGTTATGGAGATCTAAGTTATGCGTGCTTTGAGATCAGAATTCCAAAACCATGTGTGATTCTCCAACCAAAATTGACTGGAGGATGTATTTTGTGAGAATTACAACGCTGTAGAACTCCCAAGGGAACATGGGGACCTCTGGAACCCTGACAAGCATGCGATGTATGACTCATAGGTTACTATTTTGAGAATAAATGCATGACTTACGTCATAATTGATTCTAGCTAAGCGGCAGCTACGCCAGGTTGCTGGCTATTTTACTACTCTCCTTAGCTTCTGCAAGCTGTCTCTGGCTGTACTTTGCTCCTGCTGCGTTCGGTCACATGGTACGTTAAAGCAGCCATGCTGCCCGAGCAGAACTAAACCGGTTGCGAACTATGTTTAATTTGGGGCACGAGTATATGAGGTACTTAGGTAGGTTGTTTGCATGGGAGTGTGTAACGTAACCTTAATTAGTACCTACCTACATATCAGGTATCTACCTATCTAGGTATCTAGGTAGGTACCTAGGTACCAGGTACCTAGTTACCTAGTATCTACATTCTTTTTCTTTCTCCCTCAGATTGGTCACTGTCGATTCTCGTCATGTAGCTACAACTGCCCTTTTTTTTTCCACTAAAACTATGTTTATCGCTAACGCGCCTAGCTCCAAGCTCCACAGATGGAATCAGGAATCAGGGGGTAGTGAGTTGCGTTGCGTTCTGCAGGTTCTTCCATGGAAGATTAGGGAAGTTTGTTTTTTATTTTTGATTCGTATCTGTCGAGGTCTCTGAGAGGTTGGTGATGGAGAGGATGTGGAGTTTACAATTACTTCGGTCCTTTTGAACGAGATTGAGATTTGGTTAGAATATAGTTACAAGCAGGATCCTGGATTACATAAACAAAGTTTTTTTTTGCCATTTCGCGAGTAATCTCATTCATTAAAGGAAGAAATTCCTTGCATATTTCACTACCATCCATCTCATAATACGTGACAGTCTCCCACTGGTCCTACTGATAACTAGGTCATCTCTCCTGCTATTTAGTCACCTCCATCAGATTGGATCATGACCATCCACATATGAAGGGTCGTGATCCCACACGACTTCGTCCGGCCCTGGCGAATACACCATCTTGTCGGCATCCTCGGACACCATATTCTCATACGCCCAGTCCAGCATCCCCTGGAAGTCGCGACACTTGTGCGGCGTGTTCATGTACGGGTACGGATGGCCCTCGCGACCCCGCACCCAACGGTATCCGATGAGCCCCGGGTCGGCATTGCACATGAGCATCTGTCGCAGAATCTCGATGCAGTGGTATAGATGTCTCTCGAGCTCGTCCGGCGGGTCTGAGAACTCCCAGCCTTTGTCCTTGTAGTACGGATAGTTGAGCCAGGCGGCCTTGCGGAGGAAATTCTGCAGCAGTAGCTCAGCCTCCACTTCCTTTCTGTCATCTACCTGCCATTCTCACCACACAGTGAAGCTGGTGCGTCACCTCCAGAGACGCCATGTAGTATCCACTGTTCTTGTATCCTGGAGGAATGCGCACATCGCCCTTGCGCAAACCAGCCTTGAGAGCTTCTTCTTCGGGGACTCCGACAACACCCACTAGCAGAAGTTAGACAATTCACCCTCGATCTGAAGGTCCACTCACTGTCGTATGCAATGTGACTCCATGCCGCATCGAGCTCTGGGCTTGGAGGACCGCGGTAGATAGACGGCCAATCGAGAGTGCCATTGTTCCTGACGAGATGCAGATGGGTATTGATGTCTTTGGTCACAGGACCTAAAAGAGCTCATGATTAACGGTGCTTATGCATGAAAGGAATAGAGCGCATATTTGAAACGAGGTATATATGCAGGATTGGTCGTTGCACCCTGGCTCAATGCACAACATATTCCACAGAAAAGCTCTTTGACTGGGAAGATAACAATTGGCAGTTGGACTTTGAGTGAGACAAAAGAAAGAAAACACTGCAAGAAAGGAGAGATAAGTGATTGTAAATCTTACTGTAAAAGGTGCTCCGTTTGAAGCAAAAGTCATCAGCCCTGGCCATATGCGCAATATTGACCACAGTGATAATAAAGCCGACCAGAAGCATGAACAGGCCAACACAAAATATCGAAGGAATCCACTTCACGCGACGTGGTGCACGCGGGACAGCTTCACCCATGGTGGCTTCCTTGTCCTCGCCTGGCAGCAGACCCTCCATGTCTTCCATGTTTTCTCCAGAGTCAGAGGAACTAGTCTTGACAACTTTCCCCTCACTTGAGAAGTGAAAGGTAGGCATGTTTCAGGGCACTGTCCGTTTTGTTCTCAAGGATTGGTAGAGGAGAGATGATTCTGAACGATGGAGGAGAGATGGTGCCGCCTTTTTGATGTAGAAATCGGCAGGAAGGGTCCCGGGCACGTGGTAAGTTGGGACCGTTGGGTGTTTACTGCAGACTTGCTGCGAGTCACCACCAAAGCATTGTCCAGGCAGGCGGTGCAGACAATGTTCAGGGGTCAAGAGGTGAGTATGTGATTACTTGACAATAAACAAAGAAACCCTGGGCCACTATCTTAGTAACTGCCTATTATGGCAAACGGCCAAAAGAAATGCCCCGCATGGGCACATTTCGCCCAGATATGGAAATCTAGTTTAGATACACGTCATGAACTATAGAATGTGGCACAAACGGCTCACAAGCAGTCATTCCCAGAAGCGAGGAGTTTTTCGTGTAACAGGCTGGAAAAAAGAGAAGCTAGCCCTTGCGTAGAATGAGGCAGTTTGTATACAGACACCGGGTAGGATCTGTTTGATCGAGTATTCGTCTAATCATCCTCGTTTCCTTCCTTATATGCTATATGGCTCCTATTCAAAGTATAATGTAATGCATCAAACACCTATAGAACGGCTAATAATGAAGGCACGAGGGGGATTGTCTCTCCACAGCCAGTCTAGACCGAGACCTGTTTCGTTTGACCTCATGCTACCACACCTGTTTCTTCTGTCCTTTGTAGCAGATTAGACTGGTCTAGAATGCTGGTCCTAGAATGCTGATCTTGACTGCGAGTCGCACAGAATGTTGGCCGGATCACATCGTACTCATCCAACCGGAGAAATCTCTCATCAATGCCTCTCGAGACACATATCTGCCGGGTAGAAAACTCGTCGCTGGCAGATCCAATCAAGGCATTATGCGACGAATGTGATACCTCCAGACTCTGCGACTGAATTGACCAAAGAGAGCATCTAGGGGAATTTCCTGCTTAGGAATTTCGGGCGATATCGCTCTCCCATCACGAACATTCCTCGAACAAAGGCCATTTCTCGCGGTCACGAGGTGGAGGTGCACGTCTCTGCTCTTCGCTTAATGCCTTCCCCCGCCTTCCCTTGCTATAAAAACCTCCCCTATCGCTCAAATTTCTCTTTCTTTTTCTTCCCTCCTCACCTCACTCATCCTCTCTTGTTTGTCTACTCCAGTTGATCATTACCAACTTCATCAACTTGAACCTCATCCATCTCATATTGATAACACAATCAACTTGCTTCCATCTTCCAAGCAGTCAACATGCTTTCCAAGTACCTTGCCTTCACTACCTTGATGGCCTTGGCTGTCGCCCTCCCTGTCACCCCATCTGGTATGATGTACTGATGTAAACACATTGTAATGCACCAGCTGATTGTGATATGCAGGCTCTGAGACTGCGGGGGTTGAGATCCCTGACTCTAGCATCTCTGTTAATCTTCCTCCTGCCAACGTCAACAAGCGTGAGGTTGAGAACACTGATTCTGACATCTCCATTAATCTTCCTCCTGTCAATGTTGACAAGCGTGCTGTGGCATTCTATGTTGCATCAAAGGATGACCCCAATGTTGCCAAACGTGCTGTTGCGTTCTACGTTGCTCCCAAGGAGGGTGCCAATGTTGACAAC